CCAGCCAAGAGCTATATAAGCCAATAATTTTTACACCCAGGTGGCCGACTCAGATGGCGAGCATGTTCGGCAACGAGGATTCGAACTCGCGACCCTCGGATTCCCAGTCAAAACGATTTGAATGTAGGCAGATATTGAAGAAATGAAGGAACTGTTGTAATAACATACCTATACTTCTATATGTCCACTAATGTTCTGTAGATGAGTGTGCAAGTTCTAAGGGCGGGCAACATACACAATATTTATTGTGTCGTTTAACACATATACGTTTAATTCTTGGATATTACAACCTTACTGAATGCCAGGCTTAGATCACAGGAACGATATCACATGTACAACTGGTATAGGGATTTCAATACAGGCCGCACACCAGGTTAGAAATAAACTAAAAATTTTCTAAAATATGTAACAGATCTAGTAATTTCAGTTTCACAGTAAAACTCCACATGACTACATCATTCATTTCTTTGAACTATTGTTTTCAAATTCTTGCACAACTCCTCAGCTAATGGAAATGAAAGTTTAGGGTGGAGCACTTCATGTTTTCCTATGTCAATACTTTTAATTTCCATGTCCATGTATACATTTTCATTTAAATCATATATTTTCCATAAATATTAGCCACTCGTTTCGAACTTTTTTCTAATATTGTTGTCAATGTTCTGATGTTGAAATGAAGAAAACTAAAATCATCTATTTGTTTTTGTTTGAATTTTCTTGATAGCTTTAGAGTCTTCGTATTTAACAATGTTATGACAAAAGGACGTTTCTGTCATAATTTGACGTAAAACTCAACAACAACAAACAAACGAGTAGTGTTACTTTTAGGCGTAAATAGTGTTCGAGAAATAATAAATTCGCAGTCAAATGTATTATAAAAATACGACATAAGATATGTTATAATAATTCTCATGCGTCGAACTAACAGAGACGATATGAAAAAAAAATAAATAAAAGAAGTACCATATTTGTCGTACTGTAACTTATGAAACAGTGTTTGTTAAATGTTCTGATAAACCTGTTTACGCCATTTCTTCTTAATGCAATACAAGTGACATTACAACTATAAAAAATGTTCTAAAAGATCAAATCATTTTATGAAATCTCGAGCTTTTATCAAGGTGGAATGAACATGCAAGAATATTTTTTTGTATACTTTGGTCAACAGAATTTCTGAATCATATTTAAACCTGAAGCAAGGTCTGTGTAATGGAAGACAAACACTGAAAACACTATGATTATACGTAACCTGATTCTTAAAAATGTTTAGATGTTTTCTCATCTGTATTGAATGTTTAAATCGTATTAATATACATATTCTATCTAGGTAATTGTGTGTGTCTATGAGTTTGTGATAATAACTACTGAAAAGGTTTAACGAAATAATAAAAAAGACGTACATACAATTTATAAAACAGTTGCGAATAAATGTCGCGCATTCCAATAGAAGTATACATATTTTTCATACAGATGAGGTACTGCAGCTATCTGATATATAATGTAGAATCTAATTATTT